GGGTCCGGGACTCGAACCGCGGTCGACTACATGGGAGTCCAGTGACATAGCCATTACACTAACTGCTGGTCCCAAATCAAATAATTCTTAAAAAAAAAAAAAAAGAGCCCCCAGGAAGAGTTTAATGTACATACGCCCAGGGGGGTTAAGAACTACTTCTCAGGCCCAGCAGGTGGTGTGGAGATTAAGGTAGCTAGATCCCATGTGGCAAGCTGTGCAGTTCGAGTCCCAGACCTGGTAGCTTGAAAAACACACTGAGCATGTGTGTGTGCATGTCCAAAATCCCGAGAGTAGAATAGAGGAGAAGGGATTATGGTGTAACCATCCCTTGGGGAATTTTTACCCTCCCTCTCCCTCTCCTTCTCCCTCTCTCTCTCTCTCTCTCTCTTCCCCCGGGATGCACATGCTCCCTATAGCAAAACAAACAAGAACATAAAAGAAGAACCACTTCTTAATCTTCATGAAACTTCTGGTTCCAACACTTTCAGTCCAAGTGGTTTACTTATTTTTTAAAAAAATATTTAGGACCAGCGGACGGTGGAGTGGCTTCACTGCTGGACTCCCATGTAGTCAACCATGCTTCGGGTCCCGGACCCAGCGACTTGAAACTCATGCCGGGCGTGTGTGTGTGTGAGCGCGTGTGCTCAAGATCCCAGGAGGAGAATGGAGGAGAAGGAATTGCGGTGTGGCCATCCCTCCTGGGGGGGTGATTTCTTACTCTGTCTCTCTCTGTCTGGTGAGCACACATGCTTTATAGCAAAAATCTATCTCAAAAGAAAATGTAATTTTATTTATTGTTATTATTATTATTTATTCACCAGAGAGAAAGAGAAAGTGAGAAAGCAAGCTGCCAGGCCCAGGACTTGAACCGTAGTCAGCCATGTGGAAGTCCATCACCTTAACCACCATGCTACCTGCCGAACCTCAAATGGTTATTTTTAATTTTTTTTTTTTTTGGAGAGGTTTTTGCTATAGGGCGCGTGCGCTCGCCAGCCAGCCAGAGAGAGACAGAGAGACAGAAACTGAGAAATCACCCCCCAGAAGGAACGGTC